GGTGGCAACTCTCACCAGGATAACTGTCCTTGATAAGTCGACAAAGTGCCCTACTCCTTGCAGGATGTTACAGGTCTTGGGATAAGAAATTTCTGTCTTCAGCTATGGATTCAAGAAGTAAAAATTCTTTTCTTGCTGGTGACTGTGATATCATCTGGTACATGGATTTAACATTATGTATCTCAGGATTCTGGATGCCATCTATAAAGTCCTGCGAAAAATATTTCCATAGAATGTCTAATCCGAGTATGCAAGGATCTGTAATATTTGTTACACACACTAAACATACATATATGTGATGTTTACGTTTAAGTTTCCATCGATATCCGTTTATCACTAGATACAGTGTGGAGGCTAATGCAGGGCTTCTCATTATCATCATTAAATGGGACTTCTAATTATCTGGCAACCTTCACTCCACAAGATGGTCACTAATTAGTTTCCTCTGCTCTTGTTGGGGAGCAATCTTATTTTCTATTCCTTGGAGTGTTCTGCAGTTCTTTAATACACGGCCTTCACCACCACAGTTCCAGTATTTTAGGTTTTGTTTCTTTTCACTCCTATTCCGTCACAAAGCATCGACTTGTCTAGACAAGCAGATCCTGGAGTTGAGCAGTTCTGATTGGGTGGCAGTTTCTAAGAGTTGATCGTTGAAGTACTACAGAGGCAGTATTTTCCTTGTTTCTGCTGGGCAGTCCGAGAAAGCGAGACGAGACAGCCTTTCAACATCCATAGCAAGCTACTGTGGTGCTTCCATTTGCTTCTGTTGGTGAGATTTTAACTGAAGCCTGCTATAGTCTTTTAAACACTTCTCCCCTAAATGCAGCTTCAACGCAATACAGAAAGCTTCGAAGTCTAGCCTCTGAGTTTCGAGAGGAGTTTTCAATATTTTCAATTTTAAAAACATTAGAATTATAGCCAGGTGTCATTATGGATTTCTTTAAACTTTTAACTTCCTTGGAAACAGCATGGAAAACCCTGTCGTCAATTTGTTGTTTGATGGCAAAAATTCTTTCTTCAACTGTTTTCAATGGTATCATAGCTTCAAATTTGTTGTGTTATGGCAGTAATTTCTCTTTTCATTCCCTCTTTACTTGCTTTGATCTTTTCTTAAACTGACTTGACTGCTCCTTTTGGCAAGTCATTGTATAATGCATAATTTGCGTTATTAAACTAATTATGACACAATTTGCATTTAAAACACATTAATATTTAGTTCATTATTAGTCCAAAGTGGCCTTGTCCCTGAAGGACTATCGTTTTTGTTTTTCATTGAATCACTATGTCAGTTTCACTTTTCAAACTGTTGCCACCAAATGTCAGAGTCCTGCATTATATTTGAAGAAATTAAATAATAAAAAATCTGCATAAATGTATGTATATTTCTCGCATTATGATAAAACAACGGTACATAGAGCCATCGAATTTTGAATGATGTAATCCTCTTATGAATATAGGCATGCGGAAGACCAAATTTGAAATTTGTTTTATTATCGATTTAATATTTTGTAAAACTTTAACGAATTTTTGACTAAAAAACTCAATGATTTAAAAGCGAGCAATGGCAACACTCTACAGGGAAAAAAACCCTTTTTATTTCCAGCATGCAGAGCTGTGTATCGGAAATTCTAAAGATATGCTCATTTTAAAATTATTTTGAGGCATTGCTATTGAACTGAATTTTATGGTTTAAGTGCAAAGAACACGATATTTAATAAATAAAAATAAGACAGAAAATATTTATTTAAAAAAAAAAGCCCCTTGGACGTAATTTAAAATCTGAAAACTTTCAGATACTGCATTCATTTTTTTTATTTTTCCATTTAAGTTTTCTTTTAGGGGGAGGAGGGAAGGACACTGCATTCAATTTCTGTAATTTTCTTGTCTAAGAACCCCAAGATGTGTTTTCGGTACTGCAAACTGTATCTTACACCCCCCACAGCACTTCATTCTAGTAAAAGAAATTATGGAAGCACTGAATTAAAATGTCTTGCAGTTTAAATTTTATTATTAACTGCATGGAAATCAATTTTGTATGGATACTGATCATGCTGCTTTAGTTTAGCTAATAAGCTAAAGAAAGAAGCTAAGATTATTTTGATTGTCTTTAAAATTATCCATGTATGGTTTTGATATTGAATGATGCTCATGCGAAACAATTCACTAGTAATTTCTTCCAACGGTGGCGCTAAACTCGCATTTGGGGGGGGTCGCCGTATGAAATTCCTTGTTTTTTCCGGATTTTGACTCAAATATTTATTTTCCCTGAACTTTTCCCCAATTTTTGAATTCCCCAACTTCTTCCTTTTTTCCCAGTAGCATGGCAACCCTGTTTTTTTGCATTAGATAACAATTTTATGCAGCTAATGATCCTAAATTATGTGATACGTTTGAAAAGCATTGAAACAGTATAACAAAATACAAAGGCTGAGTTGATAAAATGAAAGGGAAGATTACTCGTTGCCAATCCAACCTTATGGAGATGACAAACCTCTTTTCATAAAAAAGAACATAAAACTTAATTATGTTTTCAGTATAAAGTTATATGAACTTTATAACCTCTATTTTTATTCTCTAATTATAGAAACTGCAATTTTAACCTTCTCAGTGTTCCCAGGGTTCATAGCCACGTTTTAGTTAAAAAAAAATAAGCACCTATAAGCACTTTTCAAGCACATTTTAGGGGAAAAAAAATAAGCACCTGTCTAATTACATTATACACAACTGCATAACCTTAAAAATTAGACTCGTAATTTAAAATATGAGAAATGCAGAACATATATTAAGAGAGAATAAGCATTACCTCAACAATGGAAAATAATTACTCTTTTTTAAATAACAGTTTAATTTAAAGAACTAGTTTACAATGAGAGAAAAAAAACTATGCAGGACTAAGATTTAATGATGAAATTTCAGTTCAAAATACAGGAAATAAATAATAAGGCATATTTATTCTATTCGCTCGGAACTTTATAATAAATACAATTTATTTTTCCACTCATATTGATATTTAACTAATTTAAATCTAAATTCTGAACATTTTCTAAATTTTCATTGTATAATCAGTTTTCCTTTAACAGATATTGCAAGCAAAGTAATTTAATTAAAAAAAAAAAAAAAAAAAAAAAAAAAAGAGGAACATTTCTGAAATCAGAAGACAGAAATTTGCTTCATGCAGTCATCCTTTAACAGTAAAAGCTTAACTACCCGCATACTTGAAAATTGGCGAATATTCGGACAGTCCAGCGTAACTTGAAAAAGAGGAGCCAAGGGGGGGGGGATAGACTGTAGCTCTTCTTTAGATTTCTCCGCTAAATAAATGCTTTTGACATTTCGATATGTGCATTATATAAAAACAAACCAACAGAACAGAAAAATATTCTGCTTTGCAAGCACAGTAAAACTCTTTTAAGTGTTCATAAACAACTATCGGACCGAACACTGGGAGAATAAAGAACTAAATAAAGGAAAAGAAAGAGACTTACCAATATGGGGTGTTTTTCATTCTAATTTTCAACAGACTGAATTAAATTTCCGGAATAGAATCATTCTTCGCTTGGGTTGGTAGACCGCAGAACTTTTAGTCCTAATTCAATCCAGATTGGAAAAGTGACAAAAAAAAAAAAAAGGAAAAATCCTGTTGCTTGTTTTGCAGCAAACTGTAACAGGTTTCAATAATTCGAGATTTTTGCGGAGAAAGGGGAGAACCTCCCAATCTTCCGTACTGTATAAATGTAAATAAATGGCCAAAATAAATAAAAAATTATTTGACTATTCGATTACTTTCCCTTTATTTAAGCCATTCCGAGTATTATTCCTAAAAGTTAATCTGTGTTAAAACACAACCATTTTTGGAAGTTTACTATACTTCAGCAGTTACTGCAACTATGTTATTATAAACATTCATACATATACTCATAATATAAGCATAACGATCATAATAAACACGAATATGAACTGACCAAGCGGAACGAGAATGCAAATTACTAAGATCTTGATAAAAATTCAAACGTGTGTAGTATTTGGGTGGGAGGAAAAGAATGCCGAATGTACCGAAATTGTCTACAGCTTTCGCAATTCTTTGACCAATATAACGACGGGCACCTGTCTGTATTCTCCGCACACACCAAAGGTTATGTTAATGCAGAGAAAGGGCGAAAAGCTATTTCCGGGAGTATGATTCACCATCTGACATTCCATATTAGGAAGAAAAGTTGTTTATTTAGTTTCGGCTTTATTTAAAAAAAAAGCACTAAAAGCAAAAAATAAGCACTAAAAACAGAAAAATAAGGGCTTTAAAGAAAAAGTAAGCACCTATAAGGGCCTTTATATTTTATTTTCAAATATAAGGACTTATGAGGACCGCTACGAACCCTGGTTATGGATGGAAAATTCCGTAAAGAAGGCTTCCTTCTATATTCATTAAACATGAAAATTTCTGCTAGCTTCTCATGTAACTGATTTCGGTTTGGATGTATATCGGAAGAAAAGGAATCAAGGTACAAAATGAAAGTGTATTTTTTTAATTAAAATCAATACCACTTATTCATGACATTTTGAGGAACTTTGGAATTTCAGAGCTAAACCCATAATGCTCGGAAGGTTAATGACATCGGAAAATAAATATTTACAACAAGGGAAAAAAAAAAAAAAAAAAAAAAAAAAGAGGGAGTGACAATCAAATGAAATAAAGTCCTTAAATGCATGTAATATTGCTAACCAATAGTAATATAGACTATAAAATACAAAGTGAAACTTGGAACAATGGTTTTGGTCTTGCCTTCCTTGAAACTTGCATAACATTAAGAGAGATTTGAAAATTTAGCTAAAGTGCACTATTTATGCTTACTTTATCATATAAATTCAAAATTTGAAATAACCAATTCCTCCACTGCCCACAATTTTTATTCGTAAAATTTTACCCTATTTATGCATGATACATGAATATGTGATCATATCTGTAGAAGCAGGGATAATGTAAACATTTTTATAGACAAAAAGACTGATTAGAAATTTTTTATTCAATGAAAAATGGCAATTTACTAAAAATCACATCAAAATATTTTACAGTATGTAAGAATAGCTCCAACATGGGTGGAATCAATTTTTGTTTGCGAGTAACAATTCTTGCAACTATGGGCATGTAAAAAAAGAGGAATGCAAGAGAATTTTAAAAACTATTTATTTGATGAAGTCCCAGCCCTGATTTAATCTTATATTCAAATGACTTTTTCATACAAATGACAACTAATTTGATGAAAACTCCAGTCCAACATTTACTACAAAAAAAAAAAAAACTTGCCAATATGGTTCACTCATAAATAGCTGTATAAAAAAATATTAACAATGAAGAATTAAGAGCCAAGATGAAAAAAAATGCAGCTTATTCACAAAGTAAATTACAGTTTCTGATTCTGTACACCTTGTACACTTTTTCATTCGTGATGCAATTCACATTTCTCGAATAACCGTGTTGGAGATGTACTTAATATGCATCAATGCAGTCTTCACTAAATAACAAATGAAGTCAGAAGAGAAATGTTGACAGAATGCTCATTTAAAACCTAAAAATAAACAAAACAATAAATAAAAGATACTAGCTTTATTTGTGGTAAAATGTATTTACTATAGAAATTCAGATGAAAAAGTGTTACTTTTAAACATACTAAAATGCTCTTTTGTCTCATTTTAAATTATATAATTTCCTTACTACATACTTTACAAAAGACAGATGTAAAATAACTTAGTTCTTATAAATTCTAGAAAATTTATTTATCGATTTTTCCTTTAACATACAAACAATTTTTTCACTTACGTATTAACCCGGCGGAAGTCGCACCAAGAAAAGTTACTAGAGTGGGCACGTGGGGTATCAAATACCCCAATAATTAAAATACAATAAAAATAGTATTATTTAGTTTTAAAACCTCTTTTTTTTTTTTTTTTTTTTTTTTGTTCTCATGTATTATAAATAAGTGAATAATAATTGGGTTTCCAAAAATTAATTTCCAAAATAATTTTAAAATTAAGATTAAGATAAATTAATTGTTAAAATTAAGATAAATGAAAATAATAAACATCATGCCTCTAAGTTTCATTGCATTTCTCTAATACACCATGCTTTTTTTATTTCTTCTTACTTTGAACGAAATACATTCATGTGTTCTTCGCAACAGAATGTTTTCACATTTTAAACATTGCATTCACATTCTTCTGTCCTTGGCACGAGGGCAAAATGTTTAACACATCTTTCATACTTAGTTGTTTCGAATTTCATGTATTCGTTTTATTTTCTTCGTCGAAACTTCTGCTTTTGTTTTGCATGCAGTACGTCAATTTCTTGGAAAAAGTATTGAATCTCTGATCTTTTCAATACTTTTTTTCATTAATTGTAATGCTAAGTCCTTCAAAAACAAAAGCGACTTATGTTTCTTGTTGGTGGATTAGCAGTTGAATGTAATATTCAGACAAGAATTACAGCAACATTCAGTGCATGAAAGATAATTACCATGGCCACCTTCTTTTGTTATTCTGGCATGGCATAATAATTGGCATGACATTTCATTCCCCATCCATAGTATCATCTATAGTATGACCGTTATATAATGTAGTATGAAAGGATAAGAACAGTTTTTCTTTTTTAGGAACATCAGGAATTAATGTTTTATCTTTTTCGAAACCAAAACATTGTAGAAAATATTAATTTCATCTTCAGTTTCCGAAATGCAATCTTCATCGCTTTCAAATATTTCTAATAAATCTCACATGCATTGCATCTCCAGTTCATAGGGACTTATTCTTTTTACCATAATGCAGTTTTAAGAAATTTCAAGTACTTTATAATCACTTGCGAAACTATTTACTGTACACCTCTAGAAATAAAATTTCTGAACTAAATATTCATCAGAAACACACACGGACAGATGCTGGTGGCGGGTGTCAGTTTCCAACAAAGTTACAAAATAAAAATTTTTTTCTGACACACACAAAGAAAAAGCGGTTCTGAAAGTCAACCACAACTAGAAACTCAGCTACTGAAAGCAGCACAGAATTTCAGTTTCACAAGTTAGGAATATTCCACTTTTATGTAGGGTTGGGGTATGTATGATACACCTCATGCGCCTTCCCGCGAGTTAAAAATACTTAACAAAGCACCAAGTCCAAAATATGGATGTCCAATTCCCTGCATGATCTAATATTTGGACTTTTAGTACAGGAAATGATAATAGGGGGAAAAAAAGGAGGGATGCTTTTGCCTCTGAAAAAGTGATCTGGTCGAGAACAGGAGTATGTTCAGTTGGAAAGGCAGACAGGCATGCAGGTTTGGAAAGTGTAGCTTACACACAGAACACTAGGCACATGATCTCAAGAAGCAACAAGCTTTGAATTACTGTTTTGTAAGCAGCAACACAAAATTGAAGAAAATACCTGAGGCAATAAAGGTGATGAGTCAAGCTTTGAAATTCAGATGCAGCACTGGCCTTTTTGCTTCCCTTCCTAAGAAATTACTGTATTGATTGATGCTAGCAGTGACTGTATTTTTCTCTCTCACCGAAACAATAACTGAGTACCAAAACATATTTGAGTAAAGTGTTGTGTGTACATATATGAATTAAAATACAACTATCACACATGACATAGATGATTCTGGTAAAAGATATGAAAGCAAAAATCACCAAAAAATAATTATTTTTCTAAGCATTCATTCTTCTTTATAATATCAATTTTGATAAGAATTAAATTAAAACTTACCATAAATGCTTAGTTCTATTGAGGTGCAGCAGCTTGAAACTGTTGCTGAGCCCCATATGCAGCAGCATAACTATAGCCTGGATAAGGAGCAGGCTGGCCATATGGAACTTGGGCAGGTTGAGGCTGTTGGCCAGGTGCAGGATATGCTCCAGGATAACCAGCTGCTGCAACAGGTGCAGAAGCAGGTTGTGCTGCAGGTGTCCCAGTAGGAGCAGGCTGTTGTGCACCTGGTGTTGCTTGAGGTGTCATACCTGGCTGAGCCATTGGTGCTCCAGGTTGACTAGCTTGTGGAGCTGCCTGCCCTCCCTAAGTCAAATTGTAAATTTATTCTGACATAAATGCATTAACAAATATTTTAATTTCATAAAATTATCTTCTAAAAAACTTTTGATAAATGTATGTTTTATGTTAAATTTATTTTCCTCCTGAGTTAGCTGGTCTCTTATCATCACCAAACGTAATGTCAACATAAAATGTTTAATGTTCTTTGGTATTCATATATATATATATAAATTTTTAGATGAGGTTGCATTAGTAATTATTTCTTCAGCTGCAGTGTGATGATGAGAGCAAAAAGTAATAAATAATGATTTCCCAAGTTAGCATCAGGGCCAAACTGAAATTAAGAATCCAGACACTCCACATTTTATCATGAAAAAATATTACACACTGAGAGATATTAAAAAAGAAAAAATATTACACGCAGAAGCATAAAGAATATAAAAAATCAAAAGAAGAAAAAAAAAAAAAAAAAAAAAAAAAAAAGAATGCTAGTGATTCAGAGGTTCAGATTTTAGATATTGGACTTTGTACTGTATTTATATATATATATGTAAACGTTAAGTTCATTTATAACGTTAAGTTCATTTATACTCTTTTGTAGGGAAATAAAGTTTAAAAAGGTTGATAAGAAAATGGCCTATATTAAATAGACCCTCCGAGTTTAAAAAAAAAAAGTTCAGGAGAAAGTATATAACAGTGCATATTGAGACCGAAGTTTTACACATTTTGATAAACTTTATTCTGTAAATTTAGGTTATGCTACCTACATTTTTGTAACAAGTGCCACTGAGCTGATAGCAGTCAACCACAAAACATTCGAAGTACAGGGTTCATACACATTTCTGTGCACAGAAACTAAGTACTTTTAAGGACCATTAATGAAAATAATTAAGGACCTATGAGCAAATGGGAACTGAATAAATTCAATTAAAAATATTATCTATGCCTGAACTTCCCTTTTGTAATATCATTCTAAAAATAAAATAGATCCGTAAGTAGGATGCAATATTATTAAACATGAATTAACATAATTATTGATAAGTTTGAGATAAAATAAACTATGAAATTTATCAAGTAGCATTAAATATTTTCCACTTATAATAGTTGGACATATTTGAAAGAAGATAAGTGATATTTACTTTTTAATAACAGTTAGCTTATGGAAAAATGAATATAACAAATATGTAAAAAAAATGATGTGGTTAGGTCTATTAAACTGCATTTTTTGCAGCACTGCATTTAAATTTATATCCTCAAATTATTCTAACTTAATTAACCGATTCCTCACAGCAAAGGGCCCACCAGCGGCCGAGCGGTAAAAACGCTGAACACTGGTAGTTCGGTCTGAGGTTCGAATCCCGCGAACGGGCTGGCTGCATGGGCGTTTTCGTGGTTTTCCCCATGTGTAACGTGTATACGAGCCAGTTTCCCTTAGAAAGTCCTCCACGAAAGGCATCCCTCCCTTTAGGCAGATAGCCCTCGTGTGCTTTGCCATAATTAAATACACCAACACACCTCACAGCAAACTAAAAATGACCCCCCAAAAAAATTACAAACTTTGAAATTATTTAACCCAATCAGATTTTGTCATACTTCTTGCATTTTTATATTTTAATAATGAGTATAAAACTTGCCCAAATAAAAGCACAGGGACCGAACCGGAAGGCCACATTAAAGGTTTGATTTTCTTTAAAATTTGATTGAATTTTTTTAAAATTTGAAATTGCCAAAGGATGAATATTTTAACCAATTAAAATACTACTGTAATTAGAATTATATGCCTACAAGCATAGACTATGAAAAGGCTACATAAGGGAAAGTTTGTGTATTTATATGGTATGGCTGATTGTAATAAAAAGTGAAAAACTATATGCCAAAGTAGTCCCATAACACATAATTTCAATGTTAATAATTTTTTTTAGTTCCTCAAGATATGTACTAACATGATAATTTTTTTTTAATAGTCCTATATTCTGCCCATACTTACAGTTGATGTCATGGAGGGGAAGAGGCAAAAATAGATATTTTCATCAAAATATGAAAACTTTAAATTTTTTCATTTAGATTACAGTCAAATACCGAAAACCCACCGACCTGAAATCTGCATTGTCTCTCAAAATATAAACATTCAGTTTATAGGTTTCGGAAACCACAACATGGAGCACGAAATATCGAAGAAAAATACTTACCAGATAATGACATCATAATAACCGAATAAAATGAGCCATAACCGAATTACCAAATTATTGACATCACAAAAGTTTTTCACCCTCCAGTCTGCATAGAGGTAAAAAAGCAGATGATTCATTTAACTCTTCTTTCAAGTACATGATTCACGTTGTTGTACTTTCTGAGCTGTTATTTCACGAGATTGTTTAGTATTGCCTTTTATTATTATTATTATTATTACCTGGATATTTTGTGGATAAATTAAGAATATTTTTAATTTCAGCACTTTTTAATACAATGACAGACAAGAAACACACTGGAAATTCTGAAAAAGATGAAAGGCAGGTGCTATTCCTCGGTTTATAGCAGAATCGTATACAATCGTTACACAGACCGTGAATGATATACGGAAAAAATAAAGAAAAGCTGTTAAAATTCGACAGCAACACTGATTCTAACACCGGAATCTGAAACCAGAAATCTTTACATAAGGTGGGCAAACCTCGATGCCATCTCGTACAAGTGGTTCCGGCAGCAGCCCGAGTGATGGACTGCTCCTGAGAGAAAAGGGGAAGCAGATTCATGCTGATTTAAAAATAGTGGAGCCTAATGTAAACGAATAATATAATCAATTTATATATGTAATAATAATTTAATGCATATAATAAATTGCTGTAATACTGTATATAATAATTTAATTAAATGTATCTAACATTACTTATTTTGCACTTTTAGCCTTAATATTATGATTTATCTTTTCTGTCTCGAAATCCTCACAGCCTCTGGTCCCAAGCCTTTTCTGTACCTCCTTTACTTTTTACACGAAAGTAAGATCTTAATTTTCTTTCCCCACTCACTTCACAGGAAGAAAAACTAAATTTTCCATACTACAGCTATATATGAAATACATTCTCCTGGAACATTAATTGTCAGCTGAATGCCTCTTAATAGATTTCCTGCCACCTGATATTTATTTACCTTGATATTCAGAATTATGTATGAATATTTATATTGATATTCAGAATCTGAGAGTGACAAGTAGGAGTTACTTTTCAAATTAAAATTTGGTTTGTTATTAGATTTTATTATGTATAATAAAAATTTTGAATTATTGATAAAAATACTGTAACAGAGGAAAAATTATAATACTACAAGTTAATGATTAGAAATTTAGCAATCATCTGAAGGGGAAGTAAATGGAAGAATATGTAGCATAAAATGTATTTCCTTTTCATGTATATAAATATTTTTACAGACTGTGAAACTTTAATAGCAATTTCTTTTCATGTATATACATATTTCTACAGACTGTGAAACTTTAATAGCAATTTCTTTTCATGTATATACATATTTCTACAGACTGTGACACTTTAATAGCAAAGTCAGAGAATTGACCTAAGTAAATATTTTGAAACACCTATGCAAGTGGAAAATACTTACCCCCCCCCAAAAAAATAGAAATCAATCAATTTAAAAAAAAAAAACTTTTAATGTATTTATAGCAGTTTTTTTGCTAAAATGTAATTTTGGAAACTGTTCAAAAATCACCAAAATGAAAGATACATTTAAACAACAAAAGGAAATAAAAAGATTTTAACATTATTTTTGTAAAAAAAATAGAGAAGTAACTTATGATTTAGAAAAATGAAAAGTGGTTATAATGTAAAAAAATTTTTTTTGTCTTAATGTAACTTGATTTTATTTGGTTACAATAAATACTTCCAACAGAAAAAATTCATTTCAAAACTCGTTCAAATAGTGATTTTAACATATTTATCACTGAACCTTTAAGTGTAGAATTAAATGTATTTAATCTTGTTAAATTTTTCATAGAATTTGGAGATTGGCACGCCATTACTGTGTATTAGGATTTTAAATCATCATGAAATTCGTAAGATATCTGAACATGATCCTAAAATTACTAAAATATTGACAAGTCATTAAACTTATGGAAGGGCAACAAAATAGCTCATATTCCAAAAGAACTTGTTTTTGATGCAATAAAAAGGGCAGATTTGAACAACGAACAGAATGTCTACGAAGACTATGCTTAAACCTCAATGAATTAATCCTGCAATTTGAGTGGAATTTTTAAAGTTTGTCCACTACTACGATGCACATGAAAACCTCAGAGAAGATTCCCCTCCCCCAATTTCAATACCAATCCCCCTCTTTCTCTGTGCAGGGTAAAAATGTCTTATCATTCATTATTTTCATGGTTGATGGCTCTACGGGTTTCATTTCATCGTCAAAAATTTGAATAAAATATTTGAAGTTGGGTGATTAAAATGTTCCAGTGGCTGTATTCAAGGCATTTCACCAGCCATATACCAATAAGTCTTATGAAAAAGGAAACTAAGGAGATAGATAGATGGTGTGCTACGTGCTGCTTCTAAAAAGACGAAAAATGGGAAGAAAATCTATAAATAAGACTCACATCTGGTATGCAGTGTCAAACTGGATTATGTTTGGAGCCATATACAAAAACACTTTGAATGAGTAAAAATAACAGTGCTGGTTTTACTTCTAAAGCAAATATAAATAATTTGTAAATATTTAAATGACCAACACGTTTTGTCATTTTGTCTATGCATGTAACTTAAAGCAATACTGATGTTTCTCTTTTTACTAATTTCATATTTTACGTTTTAATGTAAAAATTGTGTTTTCTTTTAATTTACGTCAGCTGAAATCACATGCAGCATATTACATATAATTTGAACCACTAAAGCATTGAGAATTTTTGTATTATTTAAAAACTGCTCATAAAGATGTGAATAGTATTATATTTAGTAATAAATGAACATCAAGCAGAGGGTTCAAGAACATATATGGCAACAAATCACTAACATGGCATAATTATTGCTAACTTAATGCAAAAAAAAATTACAAAATTTGTAAGGACTGAATTATGCACACAAGACTAGGACACTTTTTTAAGATTTGGGATATAATAATCTTTATATAACAAATTAATTCTTTATGCTAATGAATGAAATTGTATCACGAAGAAAGAACTAATATCATGAGAGAAAATACCTATGTATAGTTCACACACACACATAAACTAATAAAAATAATAAATAAATGCTTACAGGTGCTTGAGCATTTCGTGATTGTTGTTCTATCATATCAGCTTCCCGGAACATCCCTAAAGACCTGTAATACTCTACCCAGGCTGCACTGTAATCAGCTTGTCCAGCAGCTAAGTATAAAAACAATCAAAATTACTTTACAAAATTGAAATAATGAAAAGTTCCTTATTTCAGCTCAGCATGCGAGAATATTCTAAAAGAAAAGTGCAAAAGCATTTCTAAGCTCATTTAAAAAGATTATTATGCACTGAAGCACAAAGGAACAGTTGCAAAAGAATGATAAAAAATATGCTTAAAAAGGGCACTAAATGCTTATTAAATTACTTTTCTACATACATTTTGAAAATATTTTTATGAAACTGAATGCAAATTCATTACCCATTACAATTCTGTATCATCATTAAATTGTGTTTTAAGTATATTCTTTACAGATACAACCTTGCTAAATTATGAAGTTTTACAGTGCCTTTCACTTCACAAGAATTGTTGAAGCATATTTATACATTATTAAATGCTGAATAAATAGAATAAATTTACTATTAAACCTAATTTGACCTTTACGGTGTCCCATGCAGACAAAAACCATTGAATAAATTCTTACTAGTCTGCTGTGGTTGTTGTTGTTGCTGTTGTTGTGCTGGGGGTTGTGCAGCAGGCTGAGCTTGCGGAATCTGGCCAGGTTGAGGTTGTGGCTGCCCAGGTTGGTTGTAGAATTGTGCATAATAAGCAGCCCATGCAGCAGCATTGGCATCAGCAGCCACTTTAGCTATAAATTGTTTGAGGAAAATAAACATACTGCCTTATGTAACATTTTTCTTTAAGAAAGCAAAGTTTACACATAACAAAATATATGCAAAATATTCTCCAACAAAAATTTATTAGATCTTGCAAAAAGTTTTCATAGCAAATATACAAAAGCACTGAAATTAATTTTTTTCTTGGGTGGGAAGAGATTTGTATATAAGACCCATTTCATGAAAAAATTCTAACTTAAACTTAATTTAGCTCATTGTAAGCTTTTATTTTAGTTCACTCATTGTGTCTGTTACTAATTTCTAAACTAATTCCTGATATGGTATTGAGCACAAATTTTGCCCACACTCTTCTACAAATGAAAAAACAGCGGGTAAAGCAATTTTTTCAAAATTAAATTAATAAATTGTTTTTAAATTCTATGTCCTCCATTTTTAAATGCAATTTACGCTAAGTTATAATTTGATGTTTAATGAATTTTTAAAAATCCCTCAATTTTTTTTTTTTTTAAATCTGAGATTTAGTTTAAAATTTTCCAGTTACAACGCAAACATAAAATATCTTCATTTAAAATATTATTAATTGGACAATTTTCGACATTAAAATACTAATATTTACTTTTTTTAATAGCTTTCTCACTTAATTTACACCTTATTTATTAGATTTTTCTAATATGTTTTCCCCCTTACATATTAGATTTCTCCAACATTGACTTTTTTCTTGTTTTTGAAATTTCCATAAACTACTAATTTATTTTTCTGATTACCTCTAATACCAATTATTATCAATAATAATTTTTTTCTTCCCTCTGACTGCTACAAAGATTGACTTGCAATTAAATTAAGTTCATCAGATTTCTCCAATACTGATTTTCCCTTTATTAATCTTTTCCCCCTTGCTACAAAGACTCAATTACAACGAAATTTGAGTTTATTATAGTACTCTTTAGCCATTTTATGAAACTAATTTTGTATACATTTTGCATTATTTATTCATTTTATTACTCTCAAAACCAACACACAGTTAGCATTTAAAATTACATTTTACATTTATCCCCCATTCATAAATATTCATTTTTTTCGCAACATTTCAAAATATTACGATAAAAATATAAATTAGAAAGCATTGAATTTTTTAACTTTTTTTTACTCACTCATGGATAGCATGTTACTATGGTCAGAAAGTTTCTCGTCTTTAAACTCTTTTCTAATAAGCTAGTGAGTTCAAAACTTGTACACACAACTGTTTTTGAATGAATATGCAATGCGGTGAAGATTTTTTTTCTCTTTAAAATTCAAAAATTTTTCAATTTAATCTTGAAACGTTTTTGGCACATATTTTCATTAATTTAATTCTAAAAACTTGTACTATTCACATAAAATGGATTAAGCAGGAAGGAAAACCTTTTTAATTAAGTTTATATGAAATTTTTTTTTAATTTTTGATTTATTTGCAAATATCGCTTATTTTTTTAAAGCATTATCAGATAACACAAGTGTAGGAAGCAAAAAAATGACTTCTTTGCTGAAAAATGATTTTTCAACTGAATAATTTTACTGATAGCGAGCGATAAATTTAAAAAATAATCAAATAATTTTTATATAATTTTTATTAAGTTTATCTTTAAAACTTACGAAATTATTATTTAACTAAAAGGAGACCATTAATCCATCATAAAGTTTACTAAGAAAAAATGATTAAATAATTTTCTTTAATTTGCAAGTAAAATTAATTTACAACTTATCATGAATAATAAAAAGATCATTTAAATATCGAAATTTAATACTTGAACTGAAGTATTTAAAATATAAAATATAGGCCACTACCTTTATAAATTTATTACAGGATCCTAATCTTCCATTATCACAACAGAAAAATTGCAGATGACTTTTGTAAAAAGGATTATTTAATCTTTTGCTCCCATGTAAATAATTCACTGCTCCCCCCCCCAACGAAGCAATGTCAAAACAACTACATTAATAAAGTGATTCAAGGTAAACCTAAATGTACAGTTCAATGTTTTATGAAGTAAATATATAAATAAAGTCTGAAAAACTTTTTGCAAGGTCCTGATACAAACATAAACCTGTAAGGAGAAAGTCATTACCAGGATCATTAGGAGCAACTGCAACCCCTGCTGTTGACGGCTGATTAGGCCATGGCTGATATGCCCCACCAGCCCACCCAGGAGCAGCATACGGTTGACCAGGTCCAGGTTGTTGACTAAAGAAAAATTACTTCAGTAAAATTATAATTTAAAAGAAAAAAAGCTGCATCTGTAAAAAGTAAATGCTGTCACACAATTTTTTAAAATGCCTTCTTACCTAAAGATAATTTTTGCAACATTCATTGACAGAATATCTTCTGTGAAGTAATTAAAAACACCGATATAATTACAGATTAAAAATAAAAATTTACAAGACTGAAGAGAAAAGTGACCAACTTTATGCTCAAAGAAAATTTTAAAAAAATCACACCTGACAAAATCTTGAAAAAAAAAATGTGTATATTTATTATAAACTACTTGGTTATTTTTCCCTATTGCTGTTATTTTAGAAACTGCAAACACAATACATGGTGGCCAACATATCTTTTCACACAATATCAAAACTTTACTAAAATGATACACATATTTTTCCCCTGTTCCGATTTTCATGCAGTTTATGCATGCATGCCAAATCTTGTAAGTTAATCCTGAATTTTGCCCCCTCCTCAATGAACTGCTATGTACTAAAGTGTTTAGCAATTTTAAAGCTTAGGTTATCAATTCTGTTTTAAATATTAATTTTATATTCTAAGAAACAGTAAAATTATTTAAAATACATATTTTAAAATAATTAGAAGGTTAAAAATATTTTGAGGATATAAAAAGCTTTATCTTTGCGTATGACTGCATATTTGAAAAGTATTCTAAAAATTTTTTACTCGTACTTTTGTAGGACCCAATTATACATATCATCTGCATATGCATATACACTATAGCAGTCTAAGACAAATTTGTTGAAACTTTAAGCATTTTTAATTTTTCAGTAAAAAATGCAGTGAAATAACTTAGTATTTGATATAATTAAGATAGAAGTATATTAAATATTTTTCTGAGGTCACATATTTAAAAACCTACATTTCATCACAAGATGTAATTTTGAGAAGTATATTATTTCATTATGGATTTTATGTGAATTTCACAGTTGTGTTCTTTTACTTGCTATTTTAATCTATGCTTATTGTTTCAGCAATATTCAACTGATTAAAAGCAAACATTAAATACAATTATGTGAAAACAGGGCGTAAACGAAAATTTCTATTTTCAAATTATTCGCATACTATTTTTCCATAAAAAAAATTTAACACAGTTACTATTCAGCAAAAATTGTTAAGCTAATGTTTTTTAAAATAAAATATTTGAAGTGTTATGCTGTTAAAAATCAGTTTTTTAAATTTTACTGAATTAACATAAAGAAAGGAAACTAAATGGTGCAAAATGTAATGATGCATTGCTTTCAATCCCAAGCTATGCTTAAAAGTATTAAACGTCTTAAAGGCCCATTTTCAAATTTTCCTTGCACATTCTGTCCCAGAAGAAAAGAAAGATTCAAGAAAATTAATATTTAACCCTTTCAGGGACAGTACATAAAATAATTTTAATTGTGGTAAAATTTTGCATGAATTATAACTTATGTACTTTAAGGACACAAAATTGAAACTTTGGGGGGAGGACTAGAAACTCAATTTTGAAAGCCGGTATATATTTTATACTGGTTTTTTCCAAGTAGCTGCCAATTGCTAATTTTTGTTTTTAAAATTAATTTATTAATAAATTGCATATTTTTATGTGCGTCTGTAGAGATGGGTGCTTGAATATTGTTACGTTTAGTCTGAAGACCAAAACATTTTTTTAAATTTCACTAGCAATTTAAAAAAAAAAGTTTTTTTTATGCACTTTGATGATGCAACGCAGCTGAACATACTTATATAAAATATGGATAAAAAGCTTTTTAACTTGATTTAAATTCAATATTATTATATTATTAAAAAATTTAGCAAATATAACAGTGCATGTGTAAATCATATTATGTTATAACATAACTAGTATAATATTACAAGGAGAATGTAACTCAGCCAAAAAATTTTAAAAAATTGAAAAATGAAACACATGACTCAGCTGAGAAAGTATGTTCCTTTTTTTATGTGCAAGAAATAGACATTAGTATAATAAATAACTAAACTAATACAATTCAGGCTTAATTGTCTCAGTGTGCGATAGACAGAGTTGCCACTCAAACAGGAAAATGAAATTCCTTGACTTTTCCAGTCTATTCGCGTAATGCCTGTGCTAAGAGGTAAATTAATTATGGTTTGAGAAGAAGCAACATTAAATGACACAAATAACATTAAAATAAAGATAATTATTTAAAAATTGAATTAGAAGAATCAACGATATTTTGTACAAAAGCTTTTGCGATAAAATCCTAGTATACGCTACAGCCTTTGCACGATTTTGAAAATTGTCGCCAAAATGGCCTGTTTACTGCTCATCATAATACCCCCAAATCCCATGTATACAGTACATGGAGGCTGGTACTCTATACTAGGATCAAACTGATTTTATTTTATATGCTTATATTATGAATTAAACTGATTTATTATATATATATATTATACTGATTTTATTTAAAAGTATTTTCCTTAGTTCAACATGCACTGCATATGCGCATGGAGTCTCTCGATACTCGAGGTTACTAGAAACCAAAAGTTGCTGGAAACTTCCTTTGCCTTTCTCTCAACACAATCTGATTGGAGCTGCGAAAATTGGCTCTATGCCAGCTGGCCAAATGATGCTCATGTGATACATAATTCGCCAAGAAAGTAATTGCTTCCAACGTCGGAGGCAAATCTTGCTTTTTTGGGAGGAATAGCCGTATGAAATTCTCAGAGCTTTCCAGATTTTGGCTAAAATATTTAAATTCCATGACTTTTTCCTGAATTTTTTGGTCAATTTTCAGATTACCCGACATTTTCCGGTTTTCCTGGTAGCGTGGCAACTCTGGATAGAAGCAAGATAAAATTAAACAACTTGTCGTTAAGTCGCCAAGCTCATGACGCATACCCAAATATGTATAGTGAAGAATAACTAACTTTGACCATGATATCCGCTAATTTGAAAGGTTTTCGGATATCATAAAACAAAGGTGAAATTTTCCAATTAACGTATTTTCTAAGGAAATGTGTGAAGCGGTAATAAATGAAGATAATATAAAAGAAATTTTTCATTGTGATGACAAAAGCTTCTCAATCTTCAATCAATTAATGAATGGCGAAATATCTAGTATGGTTCTAGATTCAGAAAATACTGCTACCGGTAGTGAAGAAAGTTACCGAAAACGAGAAAATTTTGATTGACAAGTTAGTCCGAATTCTCGAAACAGCAGTTACAGGACTTCAACAATGTAACTAAACAAGAAATTATGTCTCTACAGAATTAAAGAGAAAGTATTAGCACAAAAATCAAAGCAACTTACATTGAAAGAAATATTTAATAAGGTAAAGAAATGCATATTAAGCTTTTTTTATGCAAATTTGGATACCCTTTAGATCATACATACTTCATTATTTCAAAAATCACGATTTGATATTTTTAATCTTATAATTTCTAGATGCCATCTTACTAGATTTAAAGTGATGATCTAATACCCGGAAAAAATCCCAAATCCGGAATCACCGAAGTCCCGACAAGTCCGGATTTCAGACTTTGTACAGTATATAAGATTCAGCATGTGTACGTCATATATTTGGAGATTTTGAATGTTTTCTTCCATTTCAATAGAATTTATGAACCTTCAAACATGATACCTTAAAATGAGGTATATTAATTTCACAACTGCAAAATATTGAGCATTCACGGGTTGGTGCTTCCATTTAGGACACACTAGAAACGTACGATTATAGCTTTTGGTGCAGATAAATTAGCATTTTTTAGGAGGTTAAAAAATTGACAAACAACCAGTATATTTTATATACTTGTGCCCTTTAAATGGGTTTAAGTTTAATTTGAGCAACGCATTGCATAAAGATAACTATAAATATATTTCTACAATTAAAAATATAATTAAAATATTCACACACACAGAACAAATGTTTTGAACTAAGTAATTAAATCCAGTTTCTCTTAGATAATGATAATCCAGTTTCTTTTAACTGAATGGTCAAGAGTCACCTGAAATCCTAGATAGGTGTTAATATCTAGAACAGTAAAATTAAATGAAAATATTGTCAAACACAGAAAAAATAGCAAAACAAATTTTTTTGTAATATCAATGCAATAAACATGTGGAAATGGTTCTAAAATTTCTGACTCCTGAACAAAAGAACAATTACACTGAAAAAGGGCCCAAATTTAAAAACATTACAACCTGTCATGAAGTGCTTCTTCAGTATTATCCTGAAATTTAAGCACCACTCCATTATAATGAAAAAAATATTACCAGCAATGGTGGTAAGAAGAAAACGAATGTCAAAGCAAATCCATATTCAAAGTAAAGATCCTTCTTTGTTTATATGATGTGGTACCTGAAGGACACAGTGAGGATGATTTGACAATATTTTACAAAGAAAATAACCTGATGGAAGAACAAGAGTTCTTTGTCTTCTTATCTTTGACTAAGCATGCATTCTATATTCTATTACACCTGATCTGGGTTTAAAGTTTTTTTTTCCCCCTTCCCGAAAAGTGCAGCTTTAATCCATGATGCAGTAATGAAAGAATCCAATTTATAAGCCTTGCATTTTTCCAAAATCTCACTCTCTCCAAAAAGAAGAGCATACAAAACATGCAGCTTGTTCATGAACCAAATGCCTCAGCCTATTTGGAATAGATAGGAAAAAGATAGCCAGCCACTTGAGTGTTATAACCTGTTTCTAACCCTCAACCTGAAGCATGGAAATCTGCAATTGATCATAATTTCTCCAAAAGTACAGTACAGCCACTTTATAAATTTTATAAACCACTAGGGATGATGCCACTTCAAAGCTTTAAGACCATTTACTGGAACAAGAGAAAGAATGAAATTGTTGCAATGTGATGAATTCCAGTCACTGTAGTATAGGATAGTGCTTGATATTAAAGTTAATTATCTCTAGTTTTCAAAATAGTAGATATCTATCACATTTTAATTGGAATGACAAAATTTTAAATTGCTGTAAAAACTCCCATTTCATAATCTGAAAGATAAGTGCATCAACTGCCAGCTTATTGGAATACATTGCATATGAGCTGTATACTATTTCCAAGTAAATTCTCATACATTCAATGGCCCTTTAAATTTTTTGGTTTAAAAAAAAGTCAATTTATGTTCAATATATTTATTTACAAAACTAAACAAAGAATTTCTTTCTATAATCAACTCCTACACTTTTATTCATCCGATTTATTTATATTTAGAGGAATGCATTTTCAATAAATTTTCATTTAAATTATTAAATATAATGCAAATCTTTTCTACAGCAAACTAAAAAAATTACGTTTTAAATTTCTATTCCTATAGAACAATTAAAATTACATAATTATAGTTTACGTCTTGAATATCAGGAAATGACAACTTTTTTAAAGTTTTTAAAATTTTATCTTCCTATTTATGTATTTATGCGAAGTGGAAGGTGATTCATGAAAAATTACCAAATTTTCTATAAAGGGGGATTGGTATTTGCATTATTGATGAACTTCTATTACAAAACAAAAAGAGAGCATATAATGTATTGGTTTCTTTCATGTAAAAAAAAATTAACTGTTCTGCTGTAAGAAATTTTGCATAAAATTAAGTCATGTCACAGTAGGCGAATCAATAGGTTGAATACTTCTTTTGCAAGTATAATTAAAAAAAAAAAAAAAAAAAATCTATTTACCATTCTAAGTAAAAATTCATAAAAAAGTTGAGATAAATTTATGTTTCATAAAAGATTTCTAGAGCTGGTTAAATTATAACAGTAGTAATTTCTTATAATTTTATATAAATATCTTATACTTAAAAAATATTCTTTGAGAAATTTCATACTATTGCTGTGGGTACTGTGGTCCAGGATACTGTCCCTGAGGTCCAGGAGGATTTGGGCCACCTGGAGGTCCACCTTGCCCAGGAGGCTGAAAAAATGAAGATATTTTTTATTTGCATGCAATTCATTTTTTCTATATTTTCTTAAATATAGTTAACACACTACCTCATCTGGTATAAATTAATACTTGCAAAAGAATTAATAAGCTGCAATGATTATACATCCTCTGTTAATTCATAATAAGGGCAGTAAACTTACCAAAACATGGATTTCATATTGAAAAAAATTGCACGAAATTTGAATGTATTATTAAATAATAATAAATAAATTTAGACGGAAGTCATATTTAATGACACGAATAACATTAAAATGAATTTAATTACTTAAAAATTGAATTACAATAATCAACGATAATTTGCTGAATATGGTGGTTGTATTTAATGGTTAACCTAGATGAATGTTTTCTACTATTTATTTTACTGCAAAATGACAAATAAGGCATTTATAAAAAAGAAAAAAGATTTAAAGGTTTTTGTGGTAAAATTCTAGTACACAGCCTTGGCATGATTTTGAAAACTGTTGCCAATACCAAAATTACACGTTTACAGCTCATCTTAACGTCGCCAAATCCCTTGTGTACCGTATAGTAGGATTAAACCAATTTTGTTTTATACGAGAATGGCAAGGTATTTTCTTTCATTCGACATGCAGTACCCATACAAATCTCCTGATTCTCGAGGTTAATGGAAACCAATCTTGCTTTGCCTTTCTAAAGACAATCTAAGTGGAGTCGCAAAAACTGGCCCTATGCCAGCATCCGAATGACACTCATGCATACTTGCCAACCTCTGACACTCAAAAATCAGGTGATTTTTTTTAAGAAATCAGGAGAATTTTCACAAAATTATAAAAATATAGTTTTTAATAATGAATTAACTTTAAATAGTTACTAATTCTTAAATGCAAGCAACACAAAAATACCTAATGTAAAAAAACTTTTTTGTTGCCTCGTTTAAGAAAACAAAACAACCCCCCCCCCAAAAAAAGACACATTAATAGTTTCGTTAAATCTTATGAACAGTGCAGATTTGCTTTCGTATTCGAATGTTGAACAGTGGCAGATTCTGCTTAGCTACTTACAGTAAACGGAATGTTTCATCATTGAGCAATTTTTTATTTTGAGAGAAATTTTTGTACCACTTTTGCTTATATTTTACAGTATTATTTTGAGAACTGCCAGTTGAATTGCTGAATGGTGCAGAAATTACTTTATTTTTCTCAAACCTATTTTAAACATGCAAGTAGTAACTACACCTCCATTTACTTTATATTTTATAACTTACAATAGAGCCTTTATCTTAAACTCTCGAAGTATTTAATTCTTCTTTAAAAAATGAAAAAAGGTTCCATTCATCGAGGATTCTAGAGAAGCATTTCTTTAAAGACAGCCAGCATGCACACACATATTCCAAATTCTTCTCATTTCAGTATATGCAGCTGTTGGAATGTTTCAATTTTTCCTCCTTTTAGAACTCCTTTTCAAGATAATAATAAATATCACAATGTGTTCATCCACATTTATTATAAAGAAGCTAAGCCCTTTTTCAGCTGCTAAATTTAAGGTGACAGGTGCACCTCATAATCGCAAATCGAATTTTCCATTCTTAAGATGCCTGCAAACCCATCTTCAAGCCTACCATTACTGGTGCATTAATCGGCACCAAAAGCTAAGCAATTATCCAGAGGACTGCATTTTTCTTTTAAATTTTAATAAGTGCTGGCTATATTAAAGCCTGTCGAATGTCCTTCTAAAGAAAGTAAACTGTGCTCAATTTCTGAAGACTTGGATTAAGAAACAACAATTGGATACAGTTTTTGAATCGGTATTGCTTCCTCCATAGAGAGACAGAACGGAGCTGTTTTAAAAAATCAATCAATAGCTGAAGATTTTATTTTCAACCTATTTCTTTAAAAATTGCAACTGTTTGGGCCTTGCAATTGAGTATTTCTTTTCTTAGCGATTTCACTATTGAGAAACATTTTTAAATAAGCTGCAGCGTGATCCTATGCATTCAGTGGCAGGTTGTGCTCCAGTAAAAAGGCAGAGAACAGACATTCTGCATTAATAACTTTTTGGTCCTTTGTTTCTCAAATCAAAAACACATAAGGAAAAGTTGCTTTTAACCAGAGACATTCTGCATTAATAACTTTTTGGTCCTTTGTTTCTCAAATCAAAAACACATAAGGAAAAGTTGCTTTTAACCAGACTTATGAATCAGTGGCACTCTTACTGAAAGACTTCTTGTCAGGAAAGTAAACTTTATTGTATGCCTGAAGTTTGGCCAAAGGATATGCTGTTATCGCAACCTGTTCGACGCATACTATACCTCCTTTTCCAATGTGGCTGCCGGTGCCGAGAATTTCAGCTCTGCAGTGTACTGCACACAACTGAAATTCTTACATTGGTCAAATTAAGTAGAGACAATTAAGAAAACACATGCTCATAAAAACTGAGTTGCAACTCCACATTTGGCAAAGGCTTACTACAGCATCTGAAAACAATGCTCAGTAAAACATACAAAATATTCCATTTTATTTTAAAAAAGGTATAACATTATAACACTTACCATTCCACCAACTCGCTCCATTATTAACTGCTTTGCATGCTCTATTTGTTGTGGATTTCCACGTATCATAAATATCTTTTCATGTGGGTTTGGTGGTGCACCTCTGGCAATTTCAACATGAGCTCCAGACTGCTGATTGATACTACGGACAGTTTCACCACCCTTTCCAATGACGAGACCACATTTGTTGGCTGGCACTGCAAACTGTACCTCTGCTCCACCATCTCCGCCAGGTCGTCCCATTCGTGGTCCTCCTGGTCCGAAATCAGGTCGCATGCCACCGGGGCCACCCATGCCGCGTCCTCTGCCACGACCTCGTCCTCCTCCAACCATGCCCATTCCGCCGCCGCCTCCACTGCCACCTTGCATCTGTTGATCATGAACCTATGTCAGAAATTTTACATTCATTTGCACTACGAAAATTTGCACGCACCCGGTGCGGCAAAGTACACGATAGTCATTTAAAAACGACTATCATACAGATATATATTGCCATGCCTTTATCCTTTGTTCTAAATGCCCATCTTATTTATTTATTTCAGTATTTTCTCTTTTTTTTCCTTCTTATTTACTGATGTATCAAAAAGTGATCATTACATGTCATTATTAGGCTTTAAACAAATGAAAATTCATTTTTTAACAATACACATGGAGAATGGCTAATATACTGTCTGTCTACTGGGAAAAACCTCCCCTCGCCCCAGTCTTGCAAATTTGTTCACTATAGCAACAGGGTTAATATATTATTTCAAGGAGTGAACCAACTGAACAATTTATTACTATTTTGTTTTTGGACGAACACTAGCTGAGGGAACAACAAAGTTTACCATTCATCTCGGTTTCATCCAAGCTACATGAGGCTTTTCTCTAGATTTATAATTCTTTTAATTATATTTCTTCTCATTATTTTTTATATTGGTACTTGCTAAAATTTACTTGTATTTATCTTTTATTTTGTGATGGTTAGATATACGCTACATTTTAAAATGCCCTTCCACTTAAAAAGTCAACCTTTAAAATCTCAGGCATGTCAAATCATGTAAAATGTTCCAGAATTTGACATTTTTGAAGTTTTGGTGAACTCTCTAACAGTTCCTCTTCCTCTACTTCTGAAGAGAACATTTCATGGGACTGGAGTATCTCAGTACACAATTAAAAACATTAGGTATGAGGTGTTAACAATGGGTGAAGAGAGAAACTGTACCTGAACATCTGGGAAGAACCACAAAAGGCTCAAACTGAGAATTCTGATAAATGTGTTATATGGCACATAACAAAGACTTTCATATCACAGAAAAAAGCCATCTGTACAGAAATTGCTGTTGAGTGAGGGAAAAAATAGACATTGTATAACGTTTTGCAATCAATGAATTTTTGCTGGAAGAAATGAATTAATAAATGAAAAATTCCCATTTTCATTGAAAGACCTGATATTGGAGGAATAATCACTTGTGAGAAATGAGAAAACTCAGAGAAAGTGAATACCACATCAACGAAACATGGATCGACAGCAACTTAATATTCAAGAAATAATGGTAAGATAGCATGGTTTTGGGCACTTAAATGAATGTTAATTCAAAAAACAGACTATTTTTACATGCTAGCTCTTCCAGAGAATTTGTTCCATGTGCTCAACTTGTATACAAAGCATCATCTCAAGGCAGAGGTAAACATAGGCAAATAAATTATGAAAAATGTTTGTTGGAAAAGCTTCTTCCAAATTTACAAATGCAAAGTGCGGTATGCATAGACAATGCTTCATATCACGAGAAAGTTGAACATCCATCACCCACGAAATATGCTATACCAGCAAACAATGCAGAACTGGCTGATGAGGAAGGGGATATCCCAAAATCTGAAAAGTGGAAATTTAACTTGATAGAACCCAACTGTCCTAAAACATTTATCTATAATAAAATTGACAATATTATGATACACAATGGGCATCATTTTGGATGACTCCCTTCTCACCACAGTGAACTAACCATAAAAGAATATGTTAGGTTAAAAGACCAATTACGGGAAAGAAGCCTTTCTTGACTTTGAAGAGTTTATTGCCCTTTTCAAATAAAGCTATAGATATTACTTAACATACGAGGGCTATCCAGAAAGTAGATTACGTTTTGGAATAAAAAAATAAACAAAGTATAGGAAACAAATTTTATTATATACAGATGAAAGCCACACTCAAATACTACTTTTCTACATAGTTCACCATACAAATTAAGGCATTTATCATAGCGATGTACGAGCTTGGAAATTCCTTCGTCGAAAATTCGGCCGCCTGCGCCTTCAACCACTTCGTTACCTCTTCTTGCAGCTGTGCGTCGTCATCAAACAAAACGCTGCATAGCCAGCCACTTCTTCATTGCTGGGAATAGGTGGAAGTCGCTCGGTGCCAGGTCGGGACTGTACGGCGGATGAGGAAACAACTCCCACTTAAAAGATTCAAGAACTTTACGAGTGACATTTGCCGTGTGGGGGCCGGGCGTTGTCGTGAACAACAAGATCTTAGAGCTCAACATTCCTCTGCGCTTGTTTTTGAATTGCTCTTCTTCTGATTTTTTGGAGAGTTTGGCAATACCTTTGAGAGTTTTATTGTAGTGCCTCTTTCCAGGAAGTCCACCAAATTACAAAATTACACTTTTCTGTCCCAAAAAACAGTCGCCATCATCTTCCTTGCCGACATTGTTTGCATGCATTTCTTGGGTTTTTGGGGAGAACTTGTGTGCCCCCACTGCATTGATTGCAATTTCGTTTCACAGTTCACATGTTTCACCACACCCATGTTTCGTCACCATAACGATGCGATCGAGTAAAGAGTCACCATCCTTATGGTAAGCAACAAAAAGTTCAACGCTGCGCCGGCAAGCCATTCGCTTTTTTTTGTGGTCCTCTGTCAAGATTTTTGGAATCCATCTTGCACAAACTTGTGGTAACCAAGCTTTTCGCTGATGATTTCGTGCAACAAACTTTCGCGAAATTTGTGGAAAACTCAAGAAAGTTCCGTTATTGTGAAATTTCGATTTTCACGGACTTTAGCATCGACTTTTTCGAGAAGTTCGGCGGTCACTAATGCTGGGTCTCCCACTTCGATCTTCGTCGTGAACATTGTTCGGCCATTTTGAAATCTTATGATCCACTGACGCACTCCACCCTTCAGTGATAATGTTTCCCCATACACTTCACGAAGCTGGCCGATAGATTTCTATCGGTTTAACAGTTTTTTTGCAGTCAGAAACCTTATTACTGAGCGCACCTCGCGGGATTTTCAATTAACGCAGACATTTCAAACCGTCACAGTATCTGAACGGAGCACAGCACGAACCTCTCACTAGCACGGCTAGATGCAGACTGAGCTGCGCAACGCTCTGACCCCAAGATGGCCGCGCTAGCCCCGCCCCTAGCGGACACAGACGGAAACGTAATCTACTTCCTGGATGGCCCTCGTATAAAATTCACATTATATATAGCTATTTATTAAGCTACAGATGGAGTCTTTTTCTAGAATAACAAATGGATTGCAACCATGCGGGGAACTTGAAAATTCTTATTGGAATAAGATGGATTTTTAGAGTTAGGATATGACTTAGGTTGGCAGCAGTAATTCAGGTTCAGAAGAAACAGAATCTTGTGACAGTGATTTAGACAACTTTTCAGATAATAAACCACTACAAACAGCTTCAGTCTTAAGCCAGAACGGACAAGATTGCTATATTACGTAAGGTTTAATGTTGGTAGTTTGACTAACTCCAGTCCTGGCAAACAGGCAGGCTGCATGGGCATTTTCAAGGTTTATACGATGAGTAATATCACTATGTTCCCGTAACTCCACAAAGAGATTCCTCCTCTTCAGATCATGCCATAATCAAATAAACCAAACCTAATCTCTAAGACAAAACTAGAGAGCAGAAATAGTAAAATTGAGGGTTAAAAAAACTTCATGGATTACATTTAAAGATTCCATACTTTCTTTGTCACAATGTAAATGAAAGGTTACCAAAAGTGGGCAAACTTTGGGCTGAGGCAAAACCTAATGGATAATAAGGAACACTGCATTGTTGTTTTATCTTTCATTATAATATTTTTGAGGACTCCCAAGCAATGGCATGCTTTGTACGAAAATAAATTTTTAATCTTTAGTGAAAATTTCATTTCATTATTAAAATTTTAATGCAAAATTATGCTGTTGCAACAAAGCTAACTGTTGTTATAAAATGCAAGTTTTGTATAATTGTACATCTAGAGATGTTCTTAATATTTTTATAATTGTACAACTAGAAATGTACAGTTATTTTAAATTGATTATGTACTATTATACAAAATCACACATTTTAAAATATAAAATAATAATTGAATAATTTTAAATATCTTAACTTTGTCCTTAATTTTATTAAGTTACTTGTTATTATAGCGTCTTTTAAAAACCTGCATGCTACTTAAACTGAGAACGGGGTTCGTAGCTACATTTTAGTTAAAAAAATAAGCACTTTTCAAGCACATTTTAAGAAAAAAAAATAAGCACCTGTCTAATTACATTATACACAACTGTATAAAATTAAAAGAAAAATTAACTTGTATTTAATAAGAAGTGCAGTATTTATTAAGAGAGAATGAGCATTACATCAACCATGGGAAACAATCCCCTTTTTTTTTTAATTTTAAATAACAGTTCAATTACACCTATTTTTCAAGAGAGGAAAAACTATGCAACTAAACTATATAACAAGATTTAATGATGAAATTTCAGTTCAAAATAGAGAAAATAAATAATAAGCCATATTTATTGTGTTCGCTTGGCACCTAATAATAAATACAATTTATTTTTCCACTCCTATTAATATTTAAGTAATTTAACTTAAATCAAAATTCTGAACATTTTTTAAATTTTCATTGTATAGCAGTCTCTTAACAGATGTTGCAAACAATGTAATTTAAGTAAAAAAGAGGAACATTTCTGAAATCAGAAGACTGGAAATTGGTTTATGCAGTTATCCTTTAACAGTAAAAGCTTAATTAACTCGCATACTCGGAAATTGCCGAATATTTCGAATAGTCGAGCCTAATTGGAAAAAGAGAGGGGGGTTAAGATTGTAGTCATTCTTTAGATTTTTCGGCTAATAAATGCTTTTGATATTTTGATATGTGCATTATATAAAAATAGACTAATGGAACTGAAAAATATTCTGGTTAGCAAGCACAGTAAAACTCTTTTAAGTGGTCATAAAGAAATTTCAGACAGAACATCAAAATTAATTATCTGCAAAATATCACCAATGTAATTGTGCAATATGTGCGAGGAATTCGTCATAAAGCGTATCAGGAAGTCAAACGGTAAAGTAATTCTTCAAGACACCCCTATGAAAAATGGGTCAGGGCTCGCTTTTATGGTAACAGACAACTGCAACTTCACATATTTAAGATAAAATTTAAAACTGATCACACATTGCTTATTTTTTCTATATATTTTTAATTCTACACAGTTTAACAGTAAAATAAAAAAAAAATTATTAATAATTTTAAGCTTTGTGAATCAATGGTCTATAAAATCTCTAGAAAGCACTCATTCTGTTTTCACCGGAACTTCACCTATTTTCCCCAGTAACTTACTTCATATATTTGTTTATTTCTATCAAATATTTGATTTAACCTTCCAGCACGCGCTCTTGGCAATTTTACATGAGCATGCGTGCTTACGACATCCGTTATTTTACAGTTTGGGGCACGAAAAGGACAGAAATGAATGAATATTGATAATAATTTGTTGAGAAAAAAAATATTAATAATTAAAATACTCTGCTACTCCTTATGTCTTTTTAAATTTCTCATTTTTCTCGCATGGCACTGCCTGCTGTTTTCCTTGTGCCCCTTTTCCCTTTATTCTTTTAAGATTTGTAAATTAGAGGCTAATTTTAATATTCATCAAAGCTAAGTATAGATAATAAAAAAGGAAAACACCTTGGTAGGAAAAAAGTAAGTTTAGCATTATTTCTGCAAGGAAATTTATTTCTTATTGGTTACAAAACGCACTTTAAACTCTAATGTTTTTATTTATTTCTAAAAAATAGAAATAAAAGGAATGGAAATCTCTACTGTTCTCCCATCCAAAGGTTTCCTTTTCTTCGTCAGATAATTCTTGAAGATTCCGAGCAAAATCAGTTGGTTGCACATATTTTTTTGCCATGAAAATCAATATAAAATTTACAGAGCCAAATTAAAATAATGCGCGCAATTAATAACACCGCAATCAGAATGCAACTGTGACCCCAAATGCGTATGATGTGGACAAAAACATATGATCAAAGAATGCCCCGATAAGGGCAATATTGAAAAACCCTTATGCTGTGCCAATTGTGGGCTCAATCATACATCCAGTTATAAACGATGTATTAAATACCCTAAGCCAAATGCCGAAAAAGTCAAGACTTACTCTAATAGAGTAATCGAAGGCAAATCTTACTCAAAAGCTCTTCCTGCTGGTATTTACACCGATACGATTAGTGAAGCAAAGAAAGTTTTACTTGATCTTGCTGAACTTGTCACGGTTATAAAAAGCGCTGGCTTTCTCCAGCTCACTCAACATGTTAAAGACCTAAACAAAAGTAATCAAGAAAAGAACAACACTAGTAATGATAATGGGTCCAAATAGCATCATTCGGGCGCCAAATTTGATTATGACGTGGAATGCACGCGGAGTGCTAAATAAACTTCAAGAATTAAAAAACTTCTTAATTAATTACGATATTGACATCGCACCCATAACCGAAACGTTTGCGAGTCCATGTATTAAGATTAAAATTACGAACTATAACTGTTTCAGAGGTGATCGCATGAGTCAAAGAGGTGAGGGTGTTGCCGTCTATGTGAAGAACAACCTGCGATCCTGCCTTATTAATACAGAATCAATTAACTGACATGAGTGTATTACTGTCTCTGTGAAACTACCACTCTATGGCATTGTTTATGTTGTAGCTCTTTACAAACCTCCACAAAATATTTTGGACAAGCAATTTCTCAAAAAACTTCTTCCCGAGGACAAGAAAGTTATCCTAGCAGGTGATTTAAATTCTAAAAATGTTGAATGGGGCTGTCGTAAGACTAATAAGAATGGAGAAAAACTATATGACTTCATTACTAATAATCCCGTCTATTTCTACGCTCCCACCTCCTATACATATCTTCTTAGCAACCCACGCAGAGGAGATATAATTGACATCTTTCTGACCACGACCTCCATTCCTATGTATCTAGAGACTAAAATGGACTTAACTTCGGATCATATTCCTGTAATCGCCACCTTAGGCACTAACAAAAGTAGTAATAAGAAAACTAAGAAAAGTACGAACTGGACTATGTTTCAAAGAAATCATTACTAAAGATCCCCCTATTATTACTTGCCTCCAAAACAGGAGAACGATATTGATAATGCAATTGACAATTTTACTGAATGCATCCAACAAGCCTTTAACAGCTGCCACTAAAAATATCCCGTTGGGATTACGACTCAGAGAAAACTGCCCCAAACGTATTCGGAACAAAATTAAAAAGAACGAAATAACTTACGTAAGAGATTTAATGTTTCATGGGATCCAAGAATTAAAAATAAACTAAACAGACTTAATAAAGAAATTAAAAATGACATTATAGGACGGAAAGATGGAATGAAAAGATCAGCAGTTTCAACGAACCCAATCGAGATTTTTGGAATTTTGCTAAAAATCTTAAGAGACATTGTAACAATTCTCTCATAGGCAACGACCAAATTGCTCTCACAAATAAAGACAAAGCAGATATTATGGTATTACATCTTGAACAGCAATTTACGCCTAATTTAGATCCTTGTGATCATAACTTTGTCACTGAAACCAACAATTTTGTTTATGAATGGTTTAATAGCATAAATATTAAAAATATTACCGATTACACCTCTCCTAAAGAAATTTCTGAAATTATTAGAAGACTAAAAAATAGGAAAGCACCTGGCTTTGATCAGATTACCAATATTGCAAAAAAAATCAAAAATCTTCCATCGAATGTTATCACTAAACTCACAAATATTTTTAATGCCTGCCTTGCTAATAATTATTCTCCTAAAAAATGAAAGACTGCTAAAATTATCTTACTGCAAGGATATTACTAAACCGGACGGGTTTAGACCCATCAGTTTACTGCCTGGCTTCAGCAAAATTTTTGAGAGGATTATTTTAAAGAGAAATGAACCTTACTTTTATAAGATTCCTCCCGAACAATTTGGTTTTCAGAAAAAGTTAAGCACTATATCAAGCAGCTTGTTAGATTATCCGAATTTGTCGGTGCCACTTTACACAACAAATCAGACGGTTGCTTTACTCATGCTGGATGTGGCGAAAGCTTTCTACCGCATCTGGCATGAGGGGCTTATCCAAAAGCTCTTCACTCTGGATTTTAGTCGAGACATTCTCCTCCTCAACTCTTTTATCACAAACAGAAGATTCTTTGTTAACATTCATGATGATAATTCAGATTGCAAGACGCTCAAAGCCTGAGTGGCTCAAGGCTCTGTTCTTCGACCTATTTTGTATGTTTTTTACTTCTCCGACTTCCCCAAGATAAATTATGATATTAATTCCTTCCTTGAATGCTACGGCCGTCGCCATTAGGTCTTTCAACGCCGATAATGCTATTAAAAATATGCAAAGATTTGTCTCTGATATTGAACACTGGTGCAAGCAATGGCGCATCTCCATCAACGCTCAAAAATCACAACTTCTGTTATTTAACAAGAAACGCATATGACTCCTGCTAGAGAAAACTTAAAATTTTCAATATTATTGTACCTGAAGTTACAAGCTCTTACCTCAGTGTAGTCCTGAATAAGCAATTCAAATGAAAGACCATATTAAAGTCAGAAGCAAAAGCTCACACAGTAACGAACAATCTTGCACCCCTACTGGGTAAATACTCTAAATTGGATCTTTCCCGTAAGAGACGTTTTTATACGGCCTTTATTTATTAGGTCAATTTTTTCCTGTGCATCCCCTGCTTGGGCTACTGCTACAACTAAAGACCTTTATAAACTGCAAATTCTACAAAATAAGTTTATGAGACTTACTACAAATGCACATTTTTATGTGTCAAACGACACTCTTCACAAAGATCTTAAACTGGATACGTGTTGAAAAATACCTCCATAAAATGAACAAGAACTTTTTAGACAAAGCCATACAATGCGACTTTTTACGTCATTTCAAAGTTTTTGATTATATTCCACTCAGAGAGGACAGTTGCATCAGACCTTACGCGGCTCACCTCGCCTGTGTCGATAATTTCACTACATAGGTTACTTTCACGGATTTTCCTGTATACAGTGTATATATGTTATTTTATCATTGCATCTCTTTATGTGTCTTGTATTTGTATTGTATGTAATGTGTTACAATATCTGATTTAAATAATAATTCTTTTCTCAGACTTATTTTCTTATTTCAACCACCCATCCATCATGAAACAACACTACCAGACACCAACTTATACTTAGCCTCTCCACGCGAGGGGCTTTCTTTCTTCTTGTGACGCTAGTCACCCCCTTTCTCTCACTCCTCGGTCAGACCGTTCAACGTCTTGTGCCCTACTGGGATACTTAGAGAGACGGCAGCGTCGCAAGAGTATAAAAAAAAAAAAAAAAAAAAAAAAAAAAAGGAAAAAAAAAATTTTTAAATATCACAAAATTACACAATATTTTTCGAATTTTAAAACAACTACGCGCATGTTGTAACTTTTATAAAAAAGCTGCCACATAGCACAAAAGCCCAGTTAAAAAAAAAAAATGACTTCCTGTTGGCACATACCATGATGTGGGATAGATTGAAAGGAGGAACAGAAATGACATTCAGAAGTCTCAGCTTCGATATGCGAAAAATGTGCATTAAAAACTGAATCTGTTGTAAATTTTGGACATATGCGCGTGCTAGAAGGTTAAATAAATTTACAAAAGTTGAAAATCTACTGCCATCACATTTAAATTATTTAAAACAGACATTTCAAACAGGCATGGAATTTTCCATTTTCCAACATTAGGATTTTCTTACCAATACACTCGTTATAAGTTCTCGAATCATATGTGCAGCTTTTGGGACTTGTTCCATATTTCCGCTAATCTGGCAAAGTTTATCACCAGGCATATCTTCTTTCCCTTGTATGAACTGTACACGTGCTCCTGAATCCTGCTGAATTCGTTTTATCATATCACCTCCTTTCCCAATTACTACTCCTACGGCTTGTCGAGGTACTAATATCTGAAAATGCATTTAAAAGAAATAGTTATTTTTACTTTTTCCATACAAAATTGAAGCTAACAGATTTCAAACTCTGTATAATAAAGCATACAAGGGAAAGCATTTTTTCCAATATTTTTATGTATCCAAAGGAGATTTTTCTCAATAAATGAGTATGATAAACAAAGCGCCATTTGTAACCAAATACACAGAACACACTTTAGCTTACAGGACTGCCTGCATATGCTTGGATATTGTGACATACATTCAGATTTCCCCTCATATACTCTTAAAAAAATAATAAATCCAATCATAATACATAAAACTTAATTTAATATATTAAACATAAATGTTAATAGGTAGCCCAATGATATGCAAAACTATGGTGGGAAAAATGATGTATGTCCACATAAATAAAAAAAACTAATTAC